TTCGCACGTTCTCAGTTCTTACCCTTGTAGAAGTTCATTCACTTGGGGCACCAGTTCATTGTCTCTGAGTTTCTCAATTTTGTTCGGCATAGTTTCAGCACTTCGAATTGCAACAAGGATCCTGCTATATAAATCTTTAACTGCTGCTATGGTTTTGTCTGTAAGGATTTTTTATTTGTGTGTTAAATTAAAGGTTATCGAATTCTGTTAAGCTCAGTTAAAAGTGATCTAATAAGGATTCGATTTTGGGCTTTAATGCATCCAATTAAAATGTGGGTTTATAAATGTGTAGAGATTGGGTCCAAGTCTCTAATTCCATGATGGGCCAAATTAGGTCAAAAGGGCATCGCTATATAGATACGGTTATGGTCTCAGATCACACGTACGTATTGTTTATTCTCTTTTACATCCCATCACAGAGAGAAAAGGGAGACTGCGTATAGATTTGAAAGACAAAATCGCAAAATTCAATCATTGCATTAACTATATATGATTCAGGTATGTTTTCGCTATATTTTATGTATTTCTTGATGATCCAACATGAAGATCTGGTAATTTAAAATAATAAATTATCCTACATTTTTCACTACGAGTCCTTCATCTACTTTAGCATCTTGATTTCTAATTTGTTTGCATTTGCTTTCATATATTTTGCGAAATATATCGCCATCCTGAAGGCAGTACAGAGTCAGGTACTAGAAAGTAGAAAACTAGTCGAAAGAATGAATAATTTACAAAAAAGGGTAAGACAAAATTATTGCCATATAAACATCGTATGGCAAATAATATGAATATATGATTACATCCTAAAGTAGCAGCATGGAATTTGCACAGTAGCTATTTACCACTCTTCGTAAAGTTTGTTTTTTTTTTTTTTTTTCCCAAAGCTTATAGCCTTCCTAGTGTCAGTGAATGGATTCAAGAAACCATTCCTCCATTATCATCAATATAGATAATTGTTAAATTCTTTCCATGTTGAAGAGTTCTTGGAACTAGACGCAACGAGACTATTGTATGATGAAGAACGAGATGCAGACCTCCATGGAATAGCTTGGATTAGTTTAGATGAGTTCTCTGCATCCACACAAGTTTCGTGAACAAATTCAAGCAGAAGAGGCTACTTGGAGTAGGAAGTTTCTGGTCAAAAAATAGGGAATTTACACACCAACAATGAACTGAATGTGTATGCCTCTATATACATACTTTCAAAAAAAAAAATGTAGTTTTTTAGCTACTTTTATGCACAGATTGTGAATCGAAAAGGGGAAATTAGGTGGTTTAAACTGAAATCCAAGAGAGCAGCACAACTGGAAAAAGGCATCACTGCCATATGCAAAATTGTGATTTTGTTTTGCAGGCCTCAAACAATTTGTGGCACACAACAACTGATTCTGGTGTTACTTTAACTAGAAGATTCATTAAAAATGTAAGGCTGCATTTGGTTTGGTGTTTTCGGGCCGTTTTCCGTTTTCGAAAATGCAAAAAATGCATTTGGTCCGTCGTTTTCGGAAGTGCATTTTAAAAAACGAGGTAAAATTTATAATTGAAAACGCAAAACGATTTTTTATCGTTTTGAGCATTTTCAATTATAAATACCCTAAACAAGCCGTTTTCGGAGAAAATTAAAAATCATTTTGAAATCAAAAATGGAAAAAGAAAAACTAAACCAAATGCAGCCTAAGAATTTTAGAGAAAAGATGCTTAAGCATCAATGTGCATCATGCAGAAAGTAATGAAAAAGTTTGCACCTTTTATTTCAGCCAGATTAGACGGTAGATGGACCCTATTAAATGGATTTTAAAACGAAATCTATTGTGTGTTTCATTGCATATTTTTTCAAAATTTAATCTAATTTTAACAACTGATCACACAATATACTTGAATTTTCAAACAATAAAAATAGCTTAAATTTCTGTAAAAATTTGTTAAAATTAAATTTAACTATTGTGTAATTGAGCAATTATTTCTTGTGAGATCGACAATTCAAACTTTTGTACACTTCATTACTTTTACACAACCTATACGATTGTGGTACACATTTTTTAACGATCAATAGGTTGACGTCATTTTTATTAGTTTAGTGGCCAAAATTCAACTGCCTCAAATTTCATTGAGTAATCGAAGACTTTTTCAAAGTTTAGTGAGCAATTGAAAGCGTTTTCAAAGTTAAATGAGTAATCGAAGATATGACAATTTGTTAAACGTGTGACAAAGCGCCACATATATATTCCATTTAGCCACGTCACTAATTTCGATAAAAATTTGGAACGAATGTTAAGGTAATGAGTAACATCCAACATTTGAATAAGTTTAATGGTTAAAACTCAACATCTTAAACTTCGATGAACAATCAAAGACAGGTACTTAAGTTCATTGACCATTGGGATATTAACTCCCTACTTGGAGAAAAATCTGGGTTTAAAATATCGATTCTTTAATGTGTAATGTAAATTTGAACCAACCCATTTACTATCTGGACATTTAGGCACTGTTTGTTTTTCATTAATGTAAGAATAATAAGAAAAATATAGCCATTACAAGTTCCACACGAGATAGAAATTCAAATATGGTGGTTTGATATAATAGATAACGATCATATTTTTCATTTTAATGATCAAATAATGGAAAACAAACAGGGCTTAAGGAAGATTTCTTTTAACAAAAGGCCTATAAAAAAACAATCAGTTTGCCATTTTATTTAGTGCCAATTTGTTTGGCACTTTTTAAAATTTTAAATTATTTGTTATAGTATTATTCTTTACCGTACAATAACACGATAAAATATTGTACACGCAAACCAATAAAAATTTTACTTTTTTAATCACACATTTTTCAAAAAATATTATTTACAACTCTAATTTTTTAAATAATGTGTGACAAACAGGGACTTATTCTTTTGGGGACACGGGCTTTGCCCGAGCCGGCCCGTGAGCTCGCGATCTTTAAAAAAAAAAAAAAAAATTTAAAGGCAAAACTGCTGCCTTTTAAGGCAGCTGAAGGAAAAAAAAAAAAAAAAAGGGGGGGAGAAAACGAGCTTGCTCAGCTCGGCCCGTAAAAAGCCCGAGCAAAAGCTCGGGCCGAGCCTATTTTTTTTGGCCGAGCTTTTGCTCGGCTCGGCTCGAGCCCGCAAAAAAGCTCGGTTACTTTAACCGGGCTGAGCCCGAGCCGAAACTTTAGGCTCGTGAGCCGGCTCGACCCGGCTCGTTTACATCCCTAAGCGAGGAGCAGCAGTTGAAAAAATGGAGGTGGTCCCACACACACACACACACACAATAAACTGAA